AAGCCTGTAGCGATGCCCAAAATGTGGTGTTGGCAGCGACTGCTCATTTGAACCTTTTCCTGTTGAGTTTGGGATTTTTATGTATGTATATTCAAAAGTGTGTCATATGTTGTTTTGTAGATGCAGGTCATAGTGTTAACTACAGTGGGAGTCTGGGTGTGTTGTGGTGCACAGGTGAAGCACTTAGCGTAGTGAGGGGAGCTGCACCAGTGCCGGTGTTACCACCAGATTCAGTTTGTCCTGGGAAAGAGATTGGAGATAACCAAATCATAGCAAGGCAGGTGTAGCTTAAGGTGTCTAAAGCATGCTCCGTGTTTAAAAATGGAGGCAATTATTTACTTCTAGGTTTGTCTGGGTTTTTTTTTTCCTTCTGCAGAGAAGAGAGTGAAAGTGTGCTGACGCTGAAAGGCTTGACTCCAACCGGAATGCTGCCCAGTGGTGTACTCTCTGGAGGAAAACAAACACTGCAAAGCGGTAAGCATGTTTGCCTGTGTGTGTCATTATGTGTAAAAAAAACAATTGGTTTTCAACTGCAGAACCCAAGAAAAGTAACCGCAGTCTTCACAGAAAGAAATACACCACGGAATAAAATAGGTGGTTTGCTGTACTGGAGCATTTGTGAGCAGCTTACGTGTGGCCACTTCTCAAAACTCCCTGAAAAATCAGCTGTTCAGAGTGGTAGATCAGCATTGCATGTGAAGTGTGGTCTTTCCACAGTTTGCACTTTTTTTTTTTTTTTAAGAGCAGCCTTCGGTACACAGAGTACTGAAGGTTCAGCTTAGATAATAACACTTAAACTCTTATTTTATCTGATTTCTTCTTCCTCATAGAGAATCACCAATGGAAAATAGCTCTAGAATTAGATTTTTCTCTCCTAGCAATTCTAGGTGACAGCATGAGAACAATTTCGCTCTGATTTAAGCCCAAGTGAAAGGAGGCTCTTACAAAAAACACATTCGCCTTGTACACAAACACAATACAGATTCTCAGCTTCTTGTTACAGGAAATCTGTAAATCTGTAGTAGGGCTACCTTTGATGAAATACTCCTTTTGGAATAAGGAGCTGCAAAGTATTTAATTTACTTCTATAAGCTCTCCTTTTTTCTGTGTGTATCTCCTTTTTTCTTTGTGAAGTATATTACAGGCACACAAGAATGTCTTGCTTATTGAGATTCTGTTGGCAGTAGATGTAAGAAATAGAAATAACCTTAACACAGTCTCAGCCTCTTGTTTTCCTGCTTCCTTCCTGGAGCATTCTTTCTCTGTATTTTTCCCTTTACCATCTCTTTTACCTAACAGATTCAGGTATATGGTGCTAAACCCTCTTTTGCCCTTTTTTCCTTTCCTTTTTTTTGTTGATGACATGTATGTTACAGACATAGTAACGTTCTGCTTTGAAAATGCTGCATTATGACTGCACAGGATGCCTTTCTTAATGGCTTTTTAGTCTTTACCTAGGCTTTTCTCTGTACGCTTGCTTCATATTTCTCAAAAAAATTTGGTCTAAGGAAACTTCTATTGTTGCCCTGGCAAAATATTAGGAATTGAAATGAATTTGTAAAAATTGTCTAAATTTCTTCTTGCAGTGGCTAAAAGGAAAATCTCCTCATACTGCAGTATTCTGGCTTAGTAAAACATTACTATACACAAGCTTGTGCATTAGTAAACATGTAGTACCCCATTCACCAAATAATCTGAAGTTTACACAGTTTCTGTTAAGCACACATTCCATAATATCATACATATGTATTAACAGAAAATGAGTAGTATGTTCTGTTGTGGAAGTATACATTTTAGTTGTCCTTTTTTTCTGATGTGTCAGTGCTGGTTTGGATCTGGTTATTCATTTTAATTTCTTATTTTTAATTTTCACTAGTTCTCGTGTTTCCTTTTCTTTTAAGCTTGCATTTGTTTTGGTCCTTGATTTTCGTTATGTCTCTTGCTCTGTAGCTTGAGAGGCATAGGCTTACCTTGGTGCATGCAGGTTAGCTCTTCTCATTTCCCCATGCAGCAGGATAATAGTGTACATCTTTTTGTATTGATCTCAATCCATATTTAACATCCTAACTGCTCAAAAAATATGTTTGGGTTTTATGGAGGACGAAAAAGCTTTTACATAGGGGAAAATAAGACAAAAAAAAGAAAGGGATTCCTAAAAACTTGGCTTCTTGAGCTATTCTCTAAACAAGAGTTCTTGAAAAATATCAAAATTCTTTTTCAGTGTTTGAGCTGTACCATTGCTATATTGGATTACATTTGCTGATCTGCATCAGCTTCGAAATCTCTGACTATAGAAATGAATTCATGCCAAAGCTGATGGGTAGAAATCAAATGAAATTATGTCTTTATGGACAATTAATGGTTTCAGAACAGTAGTAACATGGTATTCGTGACACTGCAGCAACTTCCTGATTACAAACTTTTCTCTCTCTGACCAGGCTTTGCAATTTTGGAGGTCCAGCAGCTTTCAATCTTGTGTCTGTGTCCATTGATTCTCGTAAAATATTAGAAGAACACTGTTTGCAGAGACTGGGTTGACAAAAAGGACACTTACAGATGGAACAGGCTGGGCGAGATTGCAGGCAAAGGCAAAGCTGTCTGAGCAACCTCCGTCCCGTGCTGTGGGGAGGTTTCTTTTAGTCAGGAGAGAGAAAAATCATTCGGAGAAGCTGTATATGTGGCTCTTTTGCCTTGTACTGTCAGCTAATACTTTTCAAGCTGGCATCAGAAGTGGTACATATTTTGTGTGGTGGCTTTATGCCATTTTTCGTTCTCTTTGGACAGGGCAAATATTCAAAGGTGGGGGAATTATACAATGACCCATTCAGGTCAGATGTGCAATATGGAAGACGATTTCATTTTGTAGTTCTTTTGAGTCAAAAGAAAACTACTCAAATGTGTCTTTAAATAAAAACTAGTTTGTGAAACTTCTGCTTCAAAACAAACTATAGCTTAATTCAATCTGCAAATTGTTGGTTTTGTGTAAGCGTTTCTCTGTGTGTCTGTTTTGCCAAAATCCAGCAGTTACAGTAACATTAGCATTGTAGCTCCTTTGCTATTCACTGACTTGTTCTTAGAGTTAAAATCCTCTGCTCATTTTTCTCATTCGTTTTGCTACCCCTTTCTTCTCTTCAGCTACTGTTGAGGCTATTGAGGCTGATGAAGGTAAATTGGCCAGTCCCCTTTCTGTTGGTGCCACAACAGATAAGGGCTCTGCTGGGTGTATTCATTTTGCTGTAGCTTGTACAGATTGTGTGGGCGTTGGGCTAACAATTGTGGCTCGGTATTAACCAAAATGTAATTGCTTTAAAGGGGAAAATGGTTAGGGTTTGGGTTTTGGTGGTTTTTTTTTTCTGTTGCTGCTGTTGTGGTGTTTTTCCTCCTGAAAGTTACAATCACGTTGGAACTGCTGTTATGTTCAACTAAGCACTGAGTAGCGCCACAGGAAGGAGATCCGGAGGCTTGGATTTCACGGGACATGACTGGGCAGCAGCTTGTAAATGCTCTGTGACACATAGCTCAGAAGCTGTGTGCTGGAGGCTGGGCCTGGTCTCCACCTGGAGCCATCCTCAGCAAGCTCTGCTCAAGGAAAAAGCACAGCTTTTCATAAATATTCTCTCTTTTTGTTGGGGTGGTTCACCCTCCCCTTTTTTTTTTCAGTTTGTTTCCTTTCTTTTAGGTCACCAGTTAAGAATTTCTATTGGTCTTTTGTTACAGTTCAGCATGTTTCTGTTTCTCTTTAAAAGTAAACCAACACGAGACATTTGTCTGCAAGATGTCTGCTTCCTCTGGTAGTGGCAGTTTACACACTGGATATTTACGTTAGAGCAGCCGTGAACACCAGCACCACTTCAGCTACAGCTATAACGCGACTGGCTGCCTGGGAAGATTTCTGAATGTTTAGTATTGAAAACTGTGGTGCTTTAGTGACAGACCTCTAATTTAACCCTTAAGCAGTTTTTAACGCTACAGTTAAAATCTAAGTAATCACGTATTGCAGTGCAGAGGCACCGTATTCATTCAGCATTATGAAGTTTGGAAGAAGTATTTCCAGAATTCCCCTTTAAAACAAAATTCTCCAGTTGTATTTTGTTCTTGCCCCTCTCAAATTTTCAGTGGGTTTTTTTGTTGTTGTTTTTTTTCTTTTTTAGCTAATTAAAAAAAACCTGATGATTGCTGTCTGTTGGTAAGATGTGCCCTTTTGGCCAGCTGAATTTGTTTTTGATTTTTGCAAAGCAGTGAACAAAACTGCGGAACAAACAAGTAAGAGAAAATACAACTGCTTTCTAAATAGCAGTGAGTAAGCTGCTATTTATGTTGGAATTACCTATTCCTATCGGCAATCTCTAATCTGCAGTGTGCATTCTCATTGACAGTTTGGCTGTTTTCTGTGATTTTCTGTGACTGTGTTGTGTTTTAGTATACTCTCAATGAAACTGCTAATACTCGTTGTCTGACCAGCAACTACAGCAGAGCACCTTCCTCTGTGTTACAGACGATAACGGATCTGTAACGATCACAAGTCGATTGAACGTCCCCATTCCAGCAACATGCACCTTTCGAGTAAATTCTTGATTTGCCAGCCTTGCTAGTTAGACACCCTAACCATAGTCATAACGACTAGCCTGCGCAGGCGAAGCTGATGATGGAGAAAACGCTTCGCGCTTTACCAATTGTCCCTCCGCAGTTTGATTCGGGGCCCGCTAACACCAGCTGGGCTGTGCTGCTGGCAAGCTCCAGGACACAGCGAGTGTTTCAACTTCAACTTGGCCATCCATTAAACTCTTGCTTCAGGAGATTGGCCTGGGTGCTTGTGAGACATCTTCATTTTCGTGGTAGAAGATAAATTAAAAACAAACAAACGAAAAAAAAACCCACCCTTGAAAAAACTCACTGTAGGGCCTGTTCTGTTTTCACTGCTCCATCCCTGCTCACTTGACTAATCACCATCATGTTGTTGTTGTTTTTCTGAGTTGGCGTATAACGTGTTAAAATCCATGCACTTCACAAAGTTCCAATATCATGTTTGTGAAACTGGCTAAGGAACTAAATCCTGAGGTTAACAGGATCTATCCATTTTCACAGGAATGGTTGGCAAAAATATCAGCATGAAAATGTTTTTCTCTCTCCCTCCCACCCCAAAATGCAAGGAGTGGTAGATTGGTACCAGGGATGTTCTGGGGTTTGGGGTTTGCTCGCTTTTTTTGTTTAACAGAAGTTACCAGCTTGTCCAGAATCGGGACTGCATATTGGAAGGAGAGCAGAAGTACTTTGGAGCAAAGAGAAGATAAAGGAAGGAATATTGAATTTGATCTTTGAAACTCCCCTACCATTTGCTTCCCAGGGAGTTTGCAGTTTCCTGGTACTAACACACCATTTCTGCTCCATGACATGTTAAGATAGAGGCGTAGCAAAAGTGGCAGTTCTGGAAGTGCAGTGCATTGATTCGCTGCAGAGAAGAGAAAAACACACAGAAGGCCGTAACAAATTATCTTTGGAGCTGTGACCTGCTGTTTGCCTGCGGTGCTTTTTCCCCTTTTACTTTAAAGATCTTCAACTTTTCAATTAAAGAAAAAACAGATACAATAAAAATCACACTCTATAAGTACATTCCCCAGCCTGCAGCTCCCTCCTGAGGTCCATGTGGCCTCGTCAGTGCTGCTGCTGAAGGGCATATCGAAAGTCCTCAGGTTCATTGGAAACTTTGGTCCTGTGTCAGTGCGTTTCCGAAGTTAAATTGTACGAATGTGCCAGAATGACGATATCCCTGGTCCGTGTTGCACGGCGTTACCACTGCTTGACTCAAGCTGCTTTCTAGAAATCCAGGGATGTGCTGGGGAGGGTAACTGCCCCAAACAATCAACAAGCAGCTCACCCGTATTGAGAACATAGGGTAACCTGTCGTAGGGTCCCCCCAGGTCTTCCGTAGCTTTAACGTATACCGTGCAAACTGGCCTCACTGTGTCATCACCATCTCTAGCTGGCCAGGGCTTTTTCCCCTGCGCTTTGAAAGCCGAACGGGAGTTTTGCCTGACGAGGGGTGTTACGGTGAGGCATGGTGTCTTTAAGGCTGTAGGCGATGACGACAAATGCCAGCTCACCGGCTCACCTGTGCTCTAAGCATGTTCCTAACTGCAAACTGTACTTTCATGCCACTTCAGTGTTTTAAGCTGAACCCCTGTGGACAAGAAAATATCGGAAGTTGATCCTGTTGATAAAAAAATAGGTGTGTTGCCAGAGGCGGTGGTGGCTAACCCCCAGCTCTTTGTGAGTACGGTAAGGAGTCGGTCATGTTGTCAGGTCTTCATTGCCACCTTCACAAAGAAGGACCCTTGCACTCATTGCTAAGTTGGGGGAAAAGCTGCCGAGAGTTCTACCTTGCTAATTTTGCTTTTTAATAATCCTTTATTTAGCTATCAAAGGATTTTCACCCCAGCATAAGATCACTAGCTTCGAAGAGGCCAAAGGCTTAGATCGAATTAATGAGCGAATGCCTCCACGCAGAGACGTGCCATCCGATGCCAACCTTAACTCCATCAACAAGGCAATCTCCACAGAGACTAATGGCACAGACAGCAACGGCAGTAATAGCAGCAATATTCAGTGACCACTGGCTGGGAGGGGGGTTGAGCTGCAGGGCACGATGGGGTTGCTGCACATCAGCAGTGGGATGTTCTTGCCTCTGATAACAGCTTACTTGCTCTGGGGGCCAGGTGTTGGATTCAGTTTACAAAAATCATCTACAAAGAGATCGTCAACTTTAATTTGGTGGGAGGGGGGTGGGGGCGAAACACCTCCTTTGGATATGCCTTTAAAATGCTTGTAGAAGAATGAAAGCTCATGCTGGCATATATTGCAAAGTTAGGGGAATGAACATGTTTTCCTACTGCATTGGGAATGTCTAGGTATGTTACTGAAAGGCCTTTTATTATGTTACTGGACATGAAAACTTTGTTTAATTTCTTACTAACTATTGTACGTTTACAGTTGCAGCACTAAACATGGACAACATCAAAACATTTTTAACAAAATGTACAAACTAAATAAGGACTATTTATTGATAATGTTTTGCTACTCTTGTCAGACAATGGCTATGAAATAAATTAGGCAGTCTTTAAAAACATAGAGAAAAAAAGAAAAAAAATGTTGGAAATTTGTTTAAAATGCCAAAAAAAAAAAAAGAGGAAGAGAGAGTGAGAGAGAGCGAGAGCGACAGTTTAATTTTGTACAGATTATGCTTACCTCAGGTTTCTTTAGTGTGCTTCAATGCCCTTCTTTAAATATAACACTTATCTTACTAACTTGGCAGCAATTATCCTTTTCTTTGTTTAAAAAAAAACCAACTGGAATAATGATAACATTTATCTTTTTTTGCTGTTTATATTTAGGGGGGTTTGGTTTGGGGGTTTTCCGGGTTTTTTTGGTAAATCAAGTCTTGGTTGTGGCTTGCTGAATTTAAATATTTGAGTGGTGCATTTTTAAGTATAGTGAACAAGACACCATATTAAGTGCAGTGAAAAGCATCTATATTCTGTAAAAATCTGCCTATGCATGTTTTTTAAGAAAAAAAATGGCTGTATAGGCCTGTATGGGACTGTAATGCGCTTAGTGGTCTGACTTATACTGGAAATGTATGTATACTGGCGTACTTTATATTCTCTAAAAAAAAAATGCTTAATGCCTTTGAAATTTTGTAATCAAAAAAAAAAAGCTTTGACAAATCTAAGGGGAGAGTATTCTTAAAGTTTTTAACATAAGCTTGTCGGTGCACATATAGATGGGTAGCATGTTTAGCAAACCTTGTGAAATTTAAATAAGTTTGTAATTACATGTGGAATTCTAAATGCATGATAACTGTTAACGTCATAATGGTTTAGTCATTTTGTTCTGTTCTGTCACGTGCCACAAAATGTGTAATTTTTTCACTTTTTTCCCTTTGTATATCAGTTACGGGTTTCAACTGGTTCATTCTAAAAAAAAAACTGAAAAAAAACCAAGAAAAAGAAACAAACCAGTCCATTGATATTTTTTAATAATTGTATAAGTGCCCAAGTAATTCACTACAGCCTACAGCCTTGCCTTTGTAATTTGACTTTGAAATGTTGGCAATCAAAGCATGCACTTGTAACAATGAAAGAAGCATTTTATATTACTACTCAATAAAACTGTGCATGAACTTAAGCGCCCTTCCCTTTCTTGCTGGCTCAGTCACAGAAGCGCACGCGTGTGCGCTTGCTGCTCTCTCACTTTGCATAGAAGACTGTCGGTGGAAGGGAAGAATGACTCGTTTCATGGTACAAGGTCAGTTCTTTACTAAGAAAAACCATTCGTTTATTACCCAGATGTTTTAGGCTGCTGAGCGTCTGCAGATTTACCCCAAGTTCTGGTTAGAAGGTTGTGTCTTCACTAAAATGCGTAGGATATATCCTGCAAGGCGAGCGCAGAAGGAAACATGTGCCCTCTGTGTGCTTTACCCCCCCATCTGGAGTGTTCGAAAAGGTCAGTTAGTATCATTTACAACGTTCCTTTAAGGGGGGGAAAAGTTAACAGTGTCAGATTTCAAATGCTCTCTGTTTTACTCAGAGCCGAACAGTCAAAGCTCTGCCTTGCTCTCATTTTCTCCCTAACTTTGCTCAGCATCCTTCCACAGTCCGTCACCCTGCAAAGAACCGACGGGCGGTGCCAAACGCTGCGGCGCTGTGGGTGTTGCTTTAGCGCCCTTTTCAGGTAGTGCTGTTGAATCGTGGCTCGGTGCCTGCTCTCTTCCGTGTTTTTCCCACTTTAGCTCTTGTTACTTCTGGCAAAATATGACAGGTGGCAAAAATAATGAGATCTCGTAATATAAGGGCCTGGGAAGCTGGATCAATTTGAGATTTAAATTTTATTTCAGGTTGTATAGAAATATACGCCTCTCTTTCATCACAGGGGAGAGAGACACAGAGACTGATCAGCTTCTGATCAGTCCGTGGGCACGCTCTCCACAAAAAGCAGCGGTGAAGGTTTGAGTGACGACTTTACCTGCCCTCTCAGTCCCGCGCGTGTGCTAGCGGAACCGCTGTGGGCCACCTCAGACACGTTTTCCTGCGGAGGCGTCCAAGCTGGCGCTCAGCAGGCCCTTGGTGCAACGTAGAGCGGTGCTGGTGGGCAGCGCAACATGTGCTCTTCGTTGAAGTTGGGCCCTGGCAGTTGCCCGCACCAATTTAACGGTAAGAAAGGGGTTTTTCCTCTCAGCTGTGACAGCGTGGTATAGAACTCTCAGTTGGTAGACTTAACCCAAAAGATCTGCGCTACAAATCCGTGGCCGAGTTGCAAATGCCCGCTGTAATTACCCAAGGTAGCCCAGGCTGAGTAACACATTAGGAAATGTACAAAGCCTGTCTGATCAGTGAGGAGGTTTTTGAACTTTTTGTATCTTAGAAGAATGAAAAACGTCCTGAGCATGCATGGGTGTCCTGTGTTTCCAGCTAGGATGGCCTGGTTTCCTTCTGGAGTGAGCCCCACCATCCTACCATGGGGCAGATTCTGGACTGGCCCTGAGGGATAGTCTAGGCTATACGCAAGTGTTCCTAAAAGGACAAAGAAAATTTTCCAAAGATTCTCTTTTTCCAGGGCATCCCATCCTTTTCCCTGCTGCAGAAGGAGCCGTAGCTGAATTTGAAGAAAAACACTGCTGCCACTGAAGGCTGAGTTTTGGATGTCATGGCCTCGCTCCGTGTCGTGCCAGGGACTGGAGTATGTCTCCCAGTACAGGTTTCTCCCTTCTTACCAAATAGGCTTCTTTAATGCCAAAAATACTGTTGGTGCCTACATCAGGATGTATGGTATTTTTTTTAGCCACTTTATTCCCACTGTGTGAGCTATTATATTGGATACATGCCTTATTTTCTGCACTATCATAGTTTTCCTTTTCAGTAGCTGTTACACACGAAGTGCACTAGCTCTGAGCATACCTCTTCTGAAGAAAACAACGTGCAAATTTTGTCCAGCGATTCCCCCAAAATTACCCTGCTTAAGCTTCTGCCACAATTGTCAGCTGTCAGGCACAGATATAAATTCTTTCAGCATTTCCCTTGACACCCTTTTTTATTGCCAGAAGAGGATCGACTGGAGCCTCTAGAGGAGTTTGGGTATAATTTGGCTTTCTCCTGAGAACCTGGCCAGCGAACCTGATGTCAGAAAGCAGGGCTGAAAACAGGCACCGAAAGATGCTGCTTATTAGCACAGACCCTCTCTCTGTCCTCTTTCACTTTAGTGAAATGGTGGAGTTTAGTGGTTTTAGGGAAACAGTGGAGTTCAGAGTGTAAAAAACAAAAATTCAGGGATGCTTTCTAGGTTCAGTCTGAATTTACAATTTGAGTCAGGAGAAATCAATTTCCCTTCTGATTTCAGGGTACTGTTGCTCAGAGTAGTCTTATCAATGAATCTTCCTGCTTCTTTCACAGAGAGGAGGATAAAAGAATCGGCTGTTTCAAATGTTAAAAAACCACAAGCATGAAAGCAACCATTTGGAAAATAGTTTGCAGATCGCTTTCTCAGTTGCTTTTTGGGAGGATGTTTGATTCGGCTAAAAATGGCCATTTTTTAGCATGGAAAGGGATGAACTTCATGGTTCTTCAATGATTTGGGAAAAAATATATCCAGATTCACATATGTTCATATGTATGTGAAAACACAGAGGACTTGCAGCCATCTCCATGAGAGTCACAAAAAGGACAAGTTGATGGAGCTAGAGGTAGGGGATGCACTTTTTTTTGTCTCGCTGAGCTGACTTTGCGACATCGAGCCTGGTAAGCGTTATAAAATGTATGTTTTATGAGACTTTTTTATTATTGTTATTTTTTAAATAGCTTGAGAGTGGTTTTAGTTTTATATGCGACACGTTTCCTCAAGCTGACAGGTAGCTGTGTGCTCTGGGCAGTAGTCTGCCGCAGCACGATTGCAGAAGGAAGGCCTGCCTTGGCTTTGTCATCCCTGCCAAAAAGCTTGGTTTAGGTAAAGTAACTTGGCAAAGAACAGGCGAAAGCAGTGATTTTTGCCACCAGTGGGAAGTCTGCAAGCACGTGTCAGACATGACCGCATCGGCTCCTTCATAGAGTCCTCTCATGGCCATCACTAGTTGCTCTGGGGTTCACCAAGGCCCCCCTCTGCATTTTGGGCAAAGCCTTGTGTGGTTGGTTGCTGGAGGTTTGGGTCTGGGTGCCCAGTTAGGTCATTCTTACAGCAGCAAGACCCGAGCAGGTGGTGGTTTTTCATACTTCAGCCATTACATCCCTGAGGCAGTTGATGTAGGCAACCATGGTGTGATCAAGCAAGCCCATTGCATCTGAGTATCTAATAATCTCTCTTGCTTTAAATGAGCAGTTGAACACTGTGACTTGTACTAATTCCACAGCATTTTTGGCCAAGGAACCTCTTAGGTTACAGGATCCAGACTCCATGAGGCTGGCAGGCACCATTGAGGTCGGCTTCTCCAACACAACTGCTCATGCAGGGTCATCCGGAGCAGGTTGCTGGGGACTGTGTCCAGTCAGGTTTTGAGTATCTGCAAGGGTGGAGACTCTACAACCTCTCTGGGCCACCTGTGCCAGCGCTTGACAGCTCTTACAGTAAAAAATATTTTTCTTACGTTTAAAAATTCCCTGTATTCCAGTTTGTGCCCACTGCCTCTTGTCCTGCCGACAGACTTCACTGGCAAGAGTCTGGCTTCATCTTTTATTACGCCACTCATCAAGTATTTATACACCTTTTCTCCAGGCTGAGCAGTCCCAGCTCTCTCCACCTCTGCCCATAGGTCGGATGTTCCTGTTCCTTAACCACCGTCATGGCCCTTTGCTGAACCCACTCCAGTAGGTCCACGTCTGTCGTGCTGGGGAGCCCAGACCTGTGCGTGGTACCCCAGGTGTACCTCACCAGTGCCGAGTAGAGGTGCAAAGTTGTTAAATTACCTGTCCTGGTTTCCTCTATGTACTGTTACATTCCTACAACATATATTGATGCCAGTAATTTAAGACGAGCGAGGACATTTCTGGCTGCCTAAATCAAAGAGATGGGAGCCATACCTCAGAAGACAGAAGCAGCAGGGGTACATTGCAGTCACAGAGCTGAGATGTACCAAGCTACAGATCCAAGAAGGTAAGAAAAAATGAATGCCTCACAAGCCTGACAGGACAGTGGAAGACCGGAAAAATACGTATTGCCAAATTTGGTAATAAATTTGATCAGCAGATTATCCAGGTAGGTAATACTTGCAAGGGAGAGGGTGAACCCTCTTCACTGTCTCAGTACTGTTCTGTCCTCCTCAGTGTCCCACCCGCTGCTGATCCTTGGTGCTTCAGAAGGCGGCGAAAAAGCGATCAAAACAATTCTGGCCAATCTCGTACTGAGGGAAATAGCCCTTTCCTGGGTGTAGCAGGCCGGTGGCTGAAGCCCTGAAGCGTGCGATTTCCATACAGTCATTACTGTAGTGCGGATCGTTACCAGGACATTACGTAAATGAGCCATCTTGTGCCTCGCTAGGGAGGGTGAGGTAACCTTCCGAGGAGGTTGCCTGAGGAGAAGGTAATTTGGTTATCTGTCACTTGGTGGTTTATTGATTTCAGTATGTATTTAATAAGCTTTGCACTTGGACTTCCTTTTTGTAAAACAAGAAGAAAGCGCACTTTGAAGGGAATATGAGGCGGGCGCTGCCGCAGAGCTGATGTTTAGGCAAAAGACTGAGGAAGCCCTGCAGCCATGGACCAGGGCACCAGAGAAAGGAAAGGAATGAGGAGTGGGACTGGCAGGAGAGCTTGGGGTATTTATTTCATTCCTTTCTCAAGGCAGGTGAGAGAAGAGACGATGCTAGAGGAGACCTGAGCACATGCACTGCAAGACTGAGCTGACGAGATGCAGCAGCTCTACGATGTACCTTGGCTTGGGGTAGGCAATGACAGAAACTATTTAGGCTGATAAAGCTGACCTTAGACTAGAGGTGCGCTTCAGGATGATGGTGGAGCTCAGGCTGTGACCTGAAGGCGGTCATGCATAAAAGGAGAGCAGGGAATGGCATTGGAAATGAGTTTTGGAAGCCAGACCCATGACAAGGAGCGGGCTGAGGCTCACAGCCCTGGCAGAGGAAGAAGCACAGATTGCAGGATCAAATGCTGTGTCACACACTGAAGAGCTGAGTCAGGTCAGCTGCC